ATGAGCCGCATTCAAATATCGTCACTGGGCGGTAGTGCTACCGCCCAGCTACGTCATCAGGTTTTGCGAAGGAGAGATTGAATGAAAACACTCGGTTTTGTCCTTGAAATTACAGCGCAACAAAGGAGTTTCTCGGTCAGTAGCGTTGCGTGGGAGTATCCTTGAGTCCCACTAGTGCGAGTAAGCTCGTGTAAAGTCAAAAGCATTACAATTGAATATCGTTGCACCGCCTCTTTAACAACCCACTGGGCTCGAGCCATTTAAGAGTTAGCACCCTGTTGGCAGGTGACAAGCATGGGGTAGTCACGTTTTATAAACTCTTGAATTGAACATTCAAGTGCATGCAGGCGTTCAATAGTAAAAGTCACTTCAAAAATCTCAAAAAGTACTTGAAACTTGTTTTCTTGGTGCTTGGTTATCATCTATTCAAATTTGAACCGGTCGAAACAAGCGTGTGGCTCAGTTCGCCTAAACTGGCAGAAAACAAACAAGTACAGGCAACCTTGGTAGGCACCTGCTAAAACCCGAGGCAGATAAAAAGTATCACGGTTGTCCTTTTTGGTTCCGTCGCGGGTTTTACCATGTACAGCAGTAACCAGCTGGCAGCTGGCGTCGTGCTCACGGAATTTAACCAAATCTCTAGAAAAGCACAGGAAGCTACGCACAGGCGTGAGTTGACTTGAATGTTCGCCGGACGAGATACTCTCGTCGTCTTTTATTGTGCGGTTCAATAAAGAGCGTGCTCTCAATAAAGGTGTGATCGGTCGATTCTGCGTGCAGATCAGTCGCAGCTGGCCTCCTCGGTTCCGCCGAACTTGCGCGCCTGTCGTACCCAATTTTTTTGCTTTCAAGTGCGGTGAAGTATGAAGCATTGAACACCTCGACTGAGGCCGGACAGGACAAACGTACACAGATATCTGCGATCATGTCCGTGTATTTCACTATTTCATTGTCTCGAGGTACATGATTCGCCTTCTCTGGTTCATTTGGCACATTTCATCGAGCATACTCGATAAAAAAATGCTTCAAACAAGGCCGGTTCAGAAACTAGCGTTTGACAGCGTTGCGTCGAGAACCGAAAGCCAAAAAATTGGGTTGTGTGTGTGTTTATACAGCCTAGAACTTGGTCTGCCTCACAGGGGCGACGAGTCTCCCAGCTGTAGATGAGAAATTTAGCCAGTGCGGTACAGCCGCTAGCCTGGGGTCTTTAACGTGCGTCGCGCAGTAGTGATACACGACCGCACGACGGTACGATGGTCATCCAGATCAAAACGGGCAGGGGTGGGGCTCGAACCCAGGATCCCTGGGTTCTGCAGCGCGAGCTTTCGCTCCACGTGCTCCAAGCTGGTGTGCGCTAGACCACTCGGCCACCGATCCTTTTTTTTTTTTTTTTTTTTTTTATTTATTACATGGGATTTGGTCAGAAAACACAAGGCACTTGGAATCACGGTACACAAAGGTTGGCGTTAGGTGTCATGTACAGGCGTCGACATACATTTCGTTCATCTAAAGTCACACCATCGTGGGGGTTTAGTTTTCCTCATAGGTTCGAGTGCGGTTTCACAACTCAACAAAGTATTCTGTATTGAATAATACGTCTAAAAATCCGGAAGATTAATGCATCGATTTAAGAGAGCATGCCAGTCTGGGCGTTCACCGAGATGGTCAAATACATTTCGTACATGTGATACAGTTTCTATAAAATTCGACTTTGTTGTCCGGGGAGCATCAGCATTTCTGTCAATCATTCTCGTTTTCCAGAGACTATGAAAACCCATCAGTGTAAACAGATCATAAGGGAAGCTGTCATTCGGGTTTAAAGGTAGAAAACGGATTGTGTAGGCACTTATATTTAAATATTTTTTCACAGTTCTTTGTAACACATCCCAGAAGAGGTAAGCATCAGTGCAGAAAATAAAACAATGTTCTATAGTTTCCGGTTGGTTACAAAGGCGGCAGTTCACTGACCACGGAACGAAAATGCCTTTTTCTTGAAGCCAAGGCTTAACAGGTAGCGTAGAAGTGTGAAGTTTAAAAAAAAAGGTTTTTGCAGAAGGTGACACTCGCATTTTCTTCACACGTTTAAAAACATCTTGTTCCAAAACGTTACCAAATACGCTTCGATACAATGGTACAGGAAAAACAACGTCTATCAGATCAGCATAAATTGTTTTTCGGGGAACTTTAAATAAATACTCCAGAGAAAACCGGGTTTTCAAAAATTCAATCGCGCTAACTACCTCTCCAAGGAAACCGAAAGGACGCAATGTACCTACAGGCACAGATGAGACTACCAAGTATGGTAAAGCTTCTGAAAGTTCTGCCTGCACGTAAGTGCGCAGGAAATGATGGGATACAGTTCGGAAGAACATAAAACGAACAACCACCTGTTTTAAAAATAGGTGAATCAGCCCAAGACCCCCTGTATCAATGGAGCGAAAAAGGTTGTCTCATTGCATGGGTTCCCAAGTGGAATTCCAGACAAAAGTCGCGAAAACTCAATGGAATTTTTTTAATATGGCCTCTCGCACAGCAAATCACCTGGAGCACGTACCAGAGTTTCGCTACAAGGAAAATGTTACATGCTTTTGCGCGTCCAAAGTTTGACCACCGATTTGATTTCATTATATTGGCTTGACGTTTGATCTTTGCCGCACGCTCAGACCAGTAATGGCCACTGTTTCGAATGCAGTTCAACGGTACACCTAAATACTGAGGAGCTACACAGCTCCACGAAATACCAGCATACTTCGAATGTGTTGTGGCCCACTGGCCGCACCAGAAGCCAACGCATTTTGAGTTATTTACCAACGCTCCCGATGCTTCACAAAATGCCTGGGTTAAAGTAAAGACATTATCGACACTTTTCTTATCAGCACAGAAAAACGCTATATCGTCAGCGTAGGCTAACACTTTTACTTCCGCGGAATAAAAATGATAACCGTCCACTGTATGGTTGGAAAGTACACTCAAGCAAAGAGGTTCCAAGTAAAGAGCAAACAAAAGAGGGGATAAAGGACACCCTTGTTTAACAGACGATTCTAAATTTATAGGAGTCGAGAGTGAACCATTAACAATGAGACGGGTAGCACAGCTTCGGTAGCATAGTTCGATTCCTTTCAACAACGTTGTTCCCGGGTTTATGTGTCTAAGAATGGCGAAAAGGAAGTCATGAGATACGCGGTCGAAGGCTTTCGCCAAGTCTACTTGGACTATGGCGACCTGGTTGTTATGCCGAGTACTGCTCTCTATGACCGAACGTGCGACGTGTATATTGGTCTGTATGCTTCGCCCCCTAATTCCACATGTCTGATGGTCACCAACAACACTAGAAGCGACGAACTGAAGCCGTTTTGTCAAAATCTTAGCGAATATTTTATAGTCCACATTGCAGAGAGTAATAGGGCGATATCCTTCTACGTGTATAAGTTTATCTGTATCCTTACTTTTGGGGATTAATACTGTATGGCTGCTATAAAAAGATGGTGGTAAGCGTTCACTATCGTAAGCTTCAAGAAATACTTTGTGTAAGAAAGGGCACAGTAGTTCCTTATGCTCCTTGTAAAACTCAGCTGGGAGTCCATCCGGTCCTGGCGTTTTAGAGTTAGGTAACTCATCTATCGCACCCCGAATGTCCTCCAGCGTTACTGGTCCGCTAAGTAGTTCGCGTTGGATCTCACTTACTTTAGGCAACATGGAAACTAAAGTGTCTGTCATTTGACTGTTGGAAGATGGCGTTTTCTGGAATAGGTTTTTGTAGTGGGATTCGAGTGTGCGCATTATATCAACATCGTTGGTTGAGAGGGTTCCGTTGCAGTCCAAAAGTTTGATTTTTTTGGAAAGCCCATGGCGTCTTTCATCATCAATGGCACGCCGCGAGGGTGTCTCAGATGACAAGAAACGCCTACACCTAGAACGTACCAGTGCACCATTATAGCGATTTTGCTCATAGCGCTGCAGCTGACTTTTGATAAGAATGATTTCTTCCTGAAACTCACCAGATTTTTCACATTCCAATTCGTGAAGGCTATTTAGGTTTCGCAAAAGGGCAGTTTCGTCTTTCTTTGCGTGAAAAGACGCAATACAGGCAAATTCAATCGCTTCATTTTTGACCTCTTGTTTAAATGAGTCCCATTGGGCGAAAATGCCGAATTTTTCGTTCGTTGACATATTGTTAAAACATTCACGAACACGTTTTTGAAAATCATCACTGCCAAGAAGCCTTGTGTTCAATTTCCATAATTCCCATTTTGGACGTGACTTATTACGTACGTCTGCCCCAATACGAACCTTTACAAGGCAATGATCAGAAAAGGACATGGGTTTTACTTCATAAGTAGCCACATGCGAAAAAAGTTGGCTTGAAACGTAAACTCGGTCAAGCCTCGCGTTACATGAAGCATCAATGTGAGTGAATCGACTAGCAGTAACCTGAGAAGCACCGACATCAAATAGGTGGAAGTCGTATGTGAGGTTGTTTAGTATGTCAGCACTGCTGTCAGGTCTTGTAGGAGGCACTGATCTATCCCTGACATTACAGACACAATTGAAATCACCAAACAGAACAACTTGCCTGTCGGTTTCAAGAAAAGGGGCGAGATTTTCAAAAAACAAACGTCTTTGTCGAACATCATTGTAGGCATAAATGCAAATTAAACGCCAGGAAATACCATTTAAGAAAAAATCACAGCATATGAACCTGCCCTTATCATCCGCAGCATGTGAAAATGAAGAGTATTCTAGTCTCTTCTTTAAGAATAAAAGGCACCCTCCCGACAAGCCATCCGCGTGGCTCACACATACCTCATAACTTGAGAGGAAAGGGTCCAATGCACGAGCTGTGTCCTCGTCGGACGATATCTTTGTCTCCTGGACGGCAACAAAGTCAATCTGTTCCTTTGAGAGGACCCTATACAGTTGGGACTGACGTGCACGCGAACACAGTCCTCTGACGTTGATGGTAGCGAAGCTCAGGGGAGGAAATGCCAGGGAGGTGTTAGCTAAGGGGGCAGTTCATCACCGTCCTTCACTACGTCAGCAGGCCGTGTGGACTTACTGTAATGGTGCTCACACACCTCAGCTGGCCTGCGTTTGGCGTCGCCTCTCTCGTCGCTGTTGTGGCCGATCGCGACATCCGTGGTAGAAGACTGAGACGATTTTTCCGATGTTGGGGCGGGTCGTTTGACAGATGTTCCACTGGACGTGGTCGAGCGCTCTCGTCGATGTAATGAATCCTGTGAAGCAACCGTTGACGTCGTACTTAAAGGAGGGAATTCGCTGTCTTGCAAAAACGATTCAGGCTTTTCAGATTCAGCGGTGATCGTCGCCGACTCAGGGTTGACGTCAGGTGGTGGGTGCAGCGGGGCTGTCAGCTGTACCCCTGAAGTGGTGCTGGAAGGGGTGACTTCTCCTGTTGCATCGACCACTTCGCTTATGTCCATTAGGTGTTCTAAAACGACATCTTCAGCTGGGCTTCTTGCTTGTCGGAGCTTGTCCGCATAGGTGGTGACGCACTCACTTGTTGCATGACCATCACGTCGGCATTCACCGCATCTTGGGGTCCTACACTCGCGACGAATGTGACCGATTCGGTAGCATCGTAGACACAGTGGAGGGCGGCCAGGCACGAGCACCAAGCTTCGACAGCCGAACACTGTGAGCTGGTGCGGTATCTGGCTCGCGTTCATTCCCTCGTGAAGGGTCAACGTCACTTCTTTGTTTAGCGTCTCCATCTGCTCCATTCCGGCGCAGCGCCATTTTTCTCTAACAATCGAACGCACCGTGCCAAAAGGCGCCAGTGCTTCTTCGATACGCTGGATGTCCATGTGAACTGGTAGCCAAAGAAGTTTCAGTTTGACGTCTCTGGTGTCCGGGTCGATGATTAGGCATCGGCGCCCCTTTACGCGGAGCTCTGCTTTGGTCACGAGTTTGGCCTTGGCCAAAGCGCTTGCACAGGTCACCATCCAGACGTGACTCATCTGGAATTGGCCGATTCCGATGATATCCTGGCTGTCAACCGCGTCCCGCAAAGCGTCTCGGAAGTCTGTTGCTCGGTATGGCCGCACGGCGAGATCTCCGTGTAGAAAGACAGAATTAAGACTCAAATTACCTGTCGGCAGACGGGGAAGTACGGTCCGGTACTCTTCAGTCGTCATTTCGGTGGTACTGGCCGAAGCCTCAGCAGTTCCCCGGCCTGTGGCCGGTGCGTTTTCACTGGAGAGCATTGAAAACACGTCCGTTTCGAACGGCGTCTTCTTCTTTCTCCTCGGCCACCGATCCCCCGACCGAAAGCCACTCACAGGCACGTCTGCGCTTCGTATCAAGCGCGGGAATCCAATTTAAGGAATCATGGGGGGATCGGTGGCCGAGTGGTCTAGCGCACACCAGCTCGGAGCACGTGGAGCGAAAGCTCGCGCTGCAGAACCCAGGGATCCTGTGTTCGAGCCCCACCCCTGCCCGTTTCGATCTGGATGAGCATCGTACCGGCGTGCGGTCGTGTACCACTACTGCGTGATGCACGTTAAAGACCCCAGGCTAGCGGCTGTACCGCACTGGCTAAATTTCTCATCTACAGCTGGGAGACTCGTCGCCCCTGTGAGGCAGACCAAGTTCTAGGCTGTATAAACACACACACAACCCAATTTTTTTTTAAGGAATCATCTTGGCACGCGATATAAGCAGCAGGGATGTCCTGATTTCTTGCTGCCGCAACGCAGTTAGACGCACGCAGTCAAACTCTACTGTCTCAACCAGGATTTAGATAATTTAGCATACGTATTTCGCGTTCGTTGCAGGTGAAGGCACGGGCCCGAAAGCAGCAATTCTGCACTGTCCTCTTGGCGCGAGCGCGAGCGCGTAGAACGGATATTTAGCGAAAAGAAGAAAACTGAAATAACGCTTCGGGGAGGACCGGCGGACGGGCTTCGCTAAAATCACCTGCGCGTGCTCAGTGTACTCAACGTGTACCCAACCGCCGCTAAAGTCAGTTTGGATATGTAAAAAGAGAAAAGAAAATGCATCTGTGTGTTCAGAAAGTTGTGATTGCAGAAATTAGTATCGATAATTAATACAATTAATTAAACAGGCTTCTGTATACTTGAAGTGTAGGCGAGCGAGAAAACGAAACTGTTCAAAATGAGACGTGTAGCAACTATTCAAATTTATTTATAACCTGCAGTTCACTTTTGCAATGGCCCTACATTAGAGATACGAGCGCTTTCCTAAGGGCAGTAGAGGAAAAGGATATATACGGCTAAATCTTGCACAGTCTTTTCGTATTTATGCAAAATATGACAGTGGTCACCATCCTAATCGGTCACATAAAATACAGCAGTATATAAGCTGGTGGTGTCGACTACAGGAGTGTATAGGTGTGTAGAGTGTCAATATGTGATGTTGTATCTTGTGCTGTTTCTGAATGCGTTGATGTATATAATACTGTGATGTCTGTATGTCGCGTATGAGTGAAGTGTGGTGTGGGATATGTGCATACGGCATTGTCTGGCGAGGCGTTCAGAGCATTTGCTGTTTTTTTTTCTTTAGTTTGAGTGCTGTGCATTAGGTGGCGCGTGTCGCCGCCCAATTCAAGAAGTCGCGCGTTTATGTGTCTACTTATTTGAGTGAAAATCATGGAGGCGTTCCATGGCCCACGTACAGCAACGTACAGCCATAAAGGGTTCGGTCTGGTTCGGTTCTCGGCCTCTCGTCCAAATGGGATCAGTCCCATAGCCAGTTGAATGGGTGTTCCATGCGGTGAATAGCGCCAAGTGCGTGCACAGACGCGGTGAGGATTACCAGGGACTTGAAAGTGGATAACGAATGCTAACAGGTGAGCAGGAGCGTTGAACGATCGGAACCGACGCCGCTTAAATCGGTGATGCTTCGCCTCGCCGCTGTCAATCGAAAACGCCGGATCACTTGCGGCAAGCACAGCAAGCAGATGCCCTGTTCAATAAAGACATCATTCCATTTGTCGCTATTTTGTTTCCTTCTTTGAATGTTTTCTGGCCGCGAAGTAAATGCAGCCGGCCGCGCGAAAGCAATCGCGGATAAACCCCCTCGAATGCGCCCCCCCCCCCTCACATCGTCGCCCCTACTCGTATTAGGTGCGGTGCCGGTGCTTCAAGGCGCGTTTCGGAGTGGTTTGTGCGCACGGAAGGCAGCGAACGGGCGTACGCACTTGAGAATCGTATTTTAGCAAAAAGCAGTCCAGCTCGCTAGGCCTTACTCGTATTGCTCCACTGTCGCTTGCCAGCCGCCATGTTGCTTTTGGGGGTGCTCACTGTGATTACCTGCTGATTGCGTGCCGTGTGACTGCCCATGGGGTTGTTAGTATAACGAAGGGGGGTAGCGATATCTGTGACGGCTTCTGACGACCCCAAGTGTAGTACCTTACGACAACCCTTTTGTTGAGAGTGTAGGGCGTCGTTTTCGATGTCTTCTTAGACGTTGTCCTTGAGGTTGTCCTAGGTGAATACTATCGCAATTCATGAACAACCGTCAATAGTGGTTTCTGCAGCAATGTCTTCATCGGCTGGGTGGTCAACGCGACGCGCCAAGCGGCCGAGCTCGCCTCTCCTCTACGGCACGGGCACTTCACGCGGCTCTCAAGCACGACTCAGCAAAGAATCCCCCCCCCCCCCCCAACCCCCCTCTTTCATTTCTTGTGCCACCCACACTTAGTTGTACGGAGATTAATGCAGCATAGGGCACCTATGCCCCGACCAATTTTAGCCAATATGATTGCAGCGTATTATAAGTTTATAGGCGACTTGCCGAATGTCGGAGTGCACCTTAACATACAGTGTAATTGCTATGTTTTCTCCCCGCAAACTCAGATAATAATTCACCCTCAATACAATAAGTCCCTGATTCGATTCGATTATGCGATACTGAGACTGAACAAGACCCTGAACTTCACTGGTCAGGAGAAGCTTCTGATGCTCATCTGCCTTCCCACCCCGGACAAAGAGTTTGATGGGCAGAACTGCACTGCCACCGGATGGGGACTTACCAAAGACAGTAAGTAAACATCAGTTGAACTTGTTTCTTTTTTTGCAAATACACGCAATTACGCTTTATTTCACGTACCGTACTTCGCTTCACACTTATGGGTCAGAGCGCATATGACAATACGGTTCGAATAAGCCAATCAATGCAGGGCAAAAAAGGGCATTGTCTCGGCGCTCCTCATCTTTTGAGCATTGATTCAGCTATTTGTCTGTATAAAATACGTGAAATAAATCATGAAAAGAAAGGTGTCGCACTCTGTAATGTTTACCACAACCAAGCGAACGTTACGTGCGGCCTTAGCGCCGACCAATTTTAGTTTAAGAATGTTTTTTTTTCATTTTTGATTATTTAGAAGGTTATAAAAACTGCGGTCTGAGTGCACATTTGTTTTCGGAAGATGCGTGTTAAATAGCGATGCCTACACTCAAGAAAAAAGGGTGTCAAAAGGTGTATCGTTACACCCTTTGTCCCATATAATACACCCCAAAACTTCAATTCGACGTACAGCGCCCCACAGTCAAACAGACGGCCCGAAATTTTACGAGGGGCTTAAAGGGGTCATGAAACGCTTTTCCAAATTTTTCCTGTTTAGCTTTCCTCCTCAACTCATAAATCGCGCATTCCACCAAACAGTTCAAGAAGACGAAAAGAAGGGAGACCCCTCTTGCTCGGAATCTGGTTTATGTACCTGGACAGAGCCATTGTACCCCAGAAGATTAGCCCGTCGCTCAAAATTCAGACAAACGTTGCTTTCCCCAACTCGTTCACCCCGGAGCTGACAGTGCTGTGGAAGCTACGTGCTCGTTGGGCCAGCCACACTTTCCACATGATCACGCTCCTCCGCGCATACACACGCGCAAAGATTGTGGTCAGGTGATAAAGGGAGGCGGCTGATTGGTTCGGCAAGCGCGTAGCTTCCACCACAATGTCAGCTTAGGGGTGAAGAGACTAAGTGAGGTCCGGTTTTGTGTGACGTGCGTTTCGACCCGATGACGCGCTTTTGGGACCGCGGATGTATCGCAGTGAAAAGGCAGAGAGCTTACGAAGGGGAGGAGGTACAAAATAGTCCGCTGTGTTTTCACATTTTCGCCCTGAAAGTCACGCTTTTGTCTTTCTACCTTTTTTTCTTTTGACCAACTGAACGATCTGCTATTAGTAAAATCCCAATCGAAGATGATTTATCCCAACCCAAAATCCGTTTCATGGGCCTTTTAATAGCCGTGTGGTACAACTTATTAAAATAGCTAATCTACGTTCTACTGACAACCAGAAAAATATTTGGGGTTTTTTTGGCCCTACTGTAAAAACTCGGTGTTTTCTTTGTGCGGTCTTTGATACGTAGTTAACTATTTAAAATGTTGTGCCACGGGGGTATCAAGCCCCTCGTAAAATTTCGGGCCGTCTGTTCGACTTTAGGGCGCTGTACGTCGAATTGAAGTTTTGGGGAGTATTATATGGGACAAAGGGTGTAACGATACACCTTTTGACACCCTTGTTTTTTGAGAGTGTACTGAGAACAAGATTATATTTTTTGACCGCAAATTTCGATCATGTTCAAGTCCGGACTCCGAAGCCCCAAAGTCTCAAGTTTGAGACGTCAAAATAATGATGTTTTTACGGGGAACGTGAAAATGATTTTTAAAATATTCTTACTTCTTTAGGAAGCAGCGTCACGGACGCCGAAATGACACCTGGAATTATTTTAAGAGTGAACGTCGAGATGCTCTCGGCCTGTCCAATACATGCTCGGAGTACGTCATAGGAACACATGGAGCGAAAGCTCGCGCTGCAGAACCCAGGGATACTCGGTCCAACCCCCACCCCTGCCAGTTTCGATCTGGATCAGTATCGTACCGGCGTGCGGTCGTGTATCACTACTGCGTGGTGCATGTTAAAGACCGCGGGTTAGCGGCTTTGCCGCACTGGTCAAATTGTTCTACAGCTGAGCAGCAAGTCGCCCGTTGAGGCAGACTGACTTCAGGCTGTATAAACATACGCACAACACAATTTAGGATTGGCGGGCAGGCGATGGCACGGACTTTTGTAAAAGTTCCATAGGGCACAGGCATATGTACCTTAGTGAAACCACGAAAACACAAAGAGAACATTTACGAATAATAGTGAGAGTTCTCGCGAGAAAGGGGTATAGTCAGGTCTTGTGTAAATACGTCACTTGGCAGAGAATTCCAATCGTGTATCGTCCTCGGGAAAGAAAAATTTAACCCTGCGAATCTCGCAGGACT